CGCGTCCTGTTACAAAGGCCAAGAGAGTAGTGACAGAATAATATTGTTGAATAGGAATATGAATAGGAATTTTAATATTGGTGTATTGTATTACGAATAAGAATTTTAATGTAGAATTGTAGTACTAATATGAAAGTAGGAAATTAAACAATATATTGTATTAGGAATTATATTACACTATTTTACAATATTACGCAAACCTAAGTATTATTGTTTATAACTAATATTTTCACCCGTGTGATGCACGAAATGGAATTGTTGTAATATATTAAGAATATTTAAATTGATATATAATTATTTAAAAGTTAATATCACCAGAGGTCGCTTATCTTTCATGACAATTTCAAATTTAATTCTAGACAATAGTTATTAATTATTACGATTTATTCTATGTTATAATTCTTACATTAATATACTTATTGTACGAATGGGAAAGTAGAAATAAGTATATTTTATTGGGAAGAGAGATTTTTTAGGAATTGGACGGAAAGTTAAAAGTTTAGGATTTTGTTTTTAAATATAGTATAGATTACAATAGGAATTGTATTACACTATTTTATAATTTTAGAATAGAATTTTAACCCAGAATTATTGTACGAATGGAAAAGTAGAAATCAATATATTTTATTGGGAAGAGAGATTTTTTTGGAATTTGGCGGAATTTAAAAGTTCAGGATTTTGTTTTTATATATAGTATAGAGTATAGATTACAATAGGAATTGTATTACACTATTTTATAATATTAGAATAGAATTTTAACCCATAATTAATGGAAAAGTTGAAATCAATATATTTTATTAGAAGAGAGATTTTTTAGAAATTGGGCGGGAAGTTAAAAGTTCAGGATTTTGTTTTTATATATAGTATAGATTATTAACACTTAATTACTTTTAGATATTATTTTTACCACTTATATTATTATTATTATTATATTATGATTATTAGTTTCTTTTCAAGTTTTGTTAGTATATAATGGTCGTGAGCCACACAATAATAATATAATCATAATTAAATATTTTTGTATTTTATTCCGTGAGTCACAATAATAATATAACAATGATTAAATATTCTTCAATTCTAATATTCTTCTAAGATTTCTATTAACATCATTAATTATTCCTTAATTTATCATAATTAAATAATTTGACCAATTATAAAGAGAGATTATTAAATAAAGCACGAGACAATTTTTTAATTACAAAATTTAAAAATTCATTAATGAAACATAAGGTTCTCATAGTTTTTTCTAAGAAACTATTTAATAAAGCATTTTTTTTTAGAAATCAATATATTTTATTGAGAAGAGAGATTTTGTAGGAATTGGGCGGGAAGTTAAAATTTCAGGATTTTGTTTTTATATATAGTATAGATTAGATGTGCAGAGGGAATTGTATTACACTATTTTATAATTTTAGAATAGAATTTTTACCCAGAATTATTGTACGAATGGGAAAGTAGAAATTTATATATTTTATTGGGAAGAGAGATTTTTTAGGAATTGGGCGGAAAGTTAAAATTTCAGGATTTTGTTTTTATATATAATATAGAATATAGATATAGATTAGATGGGCAGAGGGAATTGTATTAGACTATTTTATAATTTTAGAATAGAATTTTTACCCATAATTATTGTACGAATGGGAAAGTAGAAAAGCTATATATTTTATTGGGAAGAGAGATTTTTTAGGAATTGGGCGGAAAGTTAAAATTTCAGGATTTTGTTTTTATATATAGTATAGATTAGATGTGCAGAGGGAATTGTATTACACTATTTTATAATTTTAGAATAGAATTTTTACCCAGAATTATTGTACGAATGGGAAAGTAGAAATTAATATATTTTATTGGGAAGGGAGATTTTGTAGGAATTGGGCGGGAAGTTAAAATTTCAGAATTTTGTTTTTATATATAGTATAGATTAGATGTGTAGAGGAAATTGTATTACACTATTTTATAATTTTAGAATAGAATTTTTACCCATAATTATTGTACGAATGGGAAAGTAGAAAAGCTATATATTTTATTGGGAAGAGAGATTTTTTAGGAATTGGGCGGAAAGTTAAAATTTCAGGATTTTGTTTTTATATATAGTATAGATTAGATGTGCAGAGGGAATTGTATTACACTATTTTATAATTTTAGAATAGAATTTTTACCCAGAATTATTGTACGAATGGGAAAGTAGAAATTTATATATTTTATTGGGAAGGGAGATTTTGTAGGAATTGGGCGGGAAGTTAAAATTTCAGAATTTTGTTTTTATATATAGTATAGATTAGATGTGTAGAGGGAATTGTATTACACTATTTTATAATTTTAGAATAGAATTTTTACCTAGAATTACTGTACGAATGGGAAAGTAGAAATCAATATATTTTAATGGGAAGAGAAATTTTGTAGGAATTGGGCGGGAAATTAAAATTTCAAGATTTTGTTTTTATATATAGTATAGATTAGATGTGCAGAGGGATTTGTATTACACTATTTTATAATTTTAGAATAGAATTTTTACCCAGAATTATTGTACGATATATTTTATTGGGAAGAGAGATTTTATAGGAATTGGGCGGGAAATTAAAATTTCAGGATTTTGTTTTTATATATAGTATAGATTAGATGTGCAGAGGGATTTGTATTACACTATTTTATAATTTTATAATTTTAGAATAGAACTTTTACCCAGAATTATTGTACGATATATTTTATTGGGAAGAGAGATTTTGTAGGAATTGGGCGGGAAGTTAAAATTTCAGGATTTTATTTTTATATATAGTATAGATTAGATGTGCAGAGGGAATTGTATTACACTATTTTATAATTTTAGAATAGAATTTTTACCCAAAATTATTGTACGAATGGGAAAGTAGAAGTCAATATATTTTATTGGGAAGAGAGATTTTGTAGGAATTGGGCGGGATGTTAAAATTTCAGGATTTTGTTTTTATATATAGAATAGATTAGATGTGCACAGTGAATTGAATTACACTATTTTATAATTTTAGAATAGCCAGAATTATTGTACGAATGGGAAAGTAGAAATTAATATATTTTATTGGGAAGAGAGATTTTGTAGGAATTGGGCGGGAAGTTAAAATTTCAGGATTTTGTTTTTATATATAGTATAGATATTAGTATATATAAAATTTATATATTTATAAATTATATTAAAAGTACTATTAAACACAACAAATTAAATTTAAAAATAATTAAAAATTACTACCAGGACTATGTGGTCCAATGGTATCCGGGTTGGACTTCCATTTGGAAGATTATAAGTTCGAGCCTCAGTGGAGGCGTTATTGGGTCCTTGTGTTTCAATAGGTTGAGAAAGTATATGAACAGATACTACAATGTAATGAATAGTAAATTGCCATCTATAAGTCTATAACGTCATAGAATGCAAAGAGTAAGCATAATTGAATTTAGAGTAAATACTCAAAATAGTCCCTTGACTATAGCTAAATTCACAAATTGGTCCTTGACTTTCAATTTCAACCAATTAAGTCCATAACTTTGCAATTTTGACACGATTTGATCCTCTATCTATTTGACCGTTTGTTGACCGTGATTGACAATCTCCAGAAGAACCTTCAGCTCTCGTCGGAGCACGTGGAGGCCTCCAGGATGACGTTGCACCGGTTCGGAAACACGTCGTCTTCTTCGCTCTGGTACGAACTCAACTACATTGAATCCAAAGGGAGGATGAAGAAAGGCGACCGGATTTGGTAGATTGCTTTCGACAATGGATTCGAATGTAACAGTGCGATCTGGAAATGCAATCGGAACCTTAAAAAACCGACTATGGATCATGAAAGTACATATATATCCTCAAAAATCATAGTCAACAAACGGTCAAATAGACAGAGGACCAAATTGTGTTAAAATTACAAAGTTAAGGACTTAATTGGTTGAAATTGAAAGTCGATGACCAATTTGTGAATTTAGCTATAGTCGAGGGACCATTTTGGGTATTTACTCTTAAATTTACAATTTGAAAAGAGCTGTCAAAACAGGTCCAACCCGTCGGGTATGTCCGTTTAATCCGTATTTTATACGGGCGGGTTAGAGAATTTTCAACTCGACTTGTATAATATGTGTAATTCACAGGCCAGCCCGTATAACTCGTATCCCATCCCGTTTAGCTCGTCAGCTCAATACGAATTGGCAATTTATATCGTGCACCAGGGCGCACATTGCATTGTGCGCCCTAGTGCAAAACGACGTCGTTTTGTTTTGTTTTTTGTTTTTTTGTCTTTTGAAAAATTTCATTTTTCGTGTCGGCTGTTAACTCCTTAAAAAAAATCTCATGTTTCGAAAATGTACATAATTGTATAATAGATTGTATATAATTGTATAACAGAATGTACATAATTGTATAACAAAATACACATACTCTTTTGTTTTGAAAAGATAATACTAATAATCTAACATAATACATAATACACATAAACTCTTAACATAATACACATAAACTTTTAACTCTTAAAAAAAAGTCTCTATTTCGGATGTACATAATTGTATAAAAAAATGTACATAATTGTATAAAAATAGACATAATTGTATAACATAATGTACATAATTATATAATAGAATACACATACACTTTGTCGTGTCAACTCCCCACACAACTTAACAAAACGACATCGTTTTGAGAGGCACGGGACGCACATTACTATATACGCCGTGATGCACGGTATAACGATTGATACAGATTGAGTTGAAAAAATCCCAACTCTTTTAGCTTTTAAAATGTTATATATATTTTTTGTGTACGAAATTATACAGTATAATTTACCTACCTTAGTATATATATACTTCAATAAGTTTAAAAAAAAATAAAAAAAAATAATTGTGTTTATACGTAGATGAAGAGCTGTCTTTTTCATATTCTGCGCTGTCCTTTTCGTTTACCGTCCCTTTTTTATTATTTATTTTTTTTCATTTTGAATTTACTTTAATTTTTTGTCTCCTTAATTGCCACTCACTCATCTTTGTTCTTCTACGTCACAAGTATCATACAATTATACCATTTCTCTTTCTTCCTCTCTCTCTCTCTCCCTCCTCCTCCTCCTCCCTCATCCCACAGTGCTGAAAACTTCTGGGAGGAGAGTGGTGGTGGGCTGGTGGTCCGGCGCTAAGATGGGAGGAGAGAAAGTGAGGAAACCCATGAAGGGGCTAGTAAGTACGTTGCTTGTTTTAGTGATTCTTCTCATACTACTAACTGCGCTGCAATTTCTTTTTCCAGTTCTGGGCATCTGAAACATTATTGTGTGTGTAATCCAATGTTGCTAGTGTTTGGGTTGTCTATCAGATTGGAATCATTGTTCTTGGTGTTGACTTGGGTGTGTAATTAATCTAGTATTGTGGTTTCCAACTTCTTGTGTTTGAAGATTTTAAAGTGTTGATTAATTGGTTCTTTTGTGAGTCTTGTTCGAGATTTGGTTGATCTGTTGTCTCATCTGTGTTTTGGTGTGTGCTTTGTGTTCGACATTGTGTTCTGAAATCTGAAGAACATGTGATTAGATTCAAGGTTTTGTGAAGATTGTGGGTGATTCAAAGATTCTGGGTGTTTGGTTATTTGGTTTTTCCTGTTAATAAGTCAAGATTTTGGCCAGTTGGGGGGATTTAGATTTAGTTTTGCAGTCTAGTTTTGCAGTCCTTGAGTAGATAGAGTGGATCTGCTCGTTTGGTTTTACCAGTATTTAGTATAGATTAGCTCAAACACTTCTAAATTTACCATCTTTACAAGATTTAATTGATTTTCTCTCATTTTTACCTAACACCAAATTAATGCTTGTTGGGTGGGTCAAGTTGTGTCCTTTGCTTGTGGGTGTTTCCCTACTCCTTTAATAACTTCCATTTTAATTCATATTGGTACTGCCTTTCAGGTAGCTCTGTGCAAGTAGTTCTGCTTTTGCTATTGGCTTTGAATTATGCTGAAGCTCAATATGAGGGAGAATGCGAGTTTAATAAGCCTTTGAAGCCCAGACCTCACAGTGCATCGGTTTTGGACTTTGGGGCTGTGGGCGATGGGAAAACGTTAAACTCTGTAGCGTTTCAGAATGCTATTTTTTATCTCAAGTCTTTTGCTGATAAGGGCGGGGCACAGCTCTATGTTCCAGCCGGAAAGTGGTTGACTGGGAGCATCAACCTTACTAGCCACTTGACACTCTTCCTAGAAAAAGATGCCATTATTTTGGGATCAGAGGTTAGCTGGAAAGACACATTCCTTCTACTTTAATGAAAATTCAAGAACATATTCTATGTGATCTGCTGGAACTCTGAATTGAATCGTAATTCCTTAATGTACTTTCTCTTTGCAGGATTACGCTCATTGGGGTGTAGTCGATCCCTTACCATCTTATGGGAGAGGTATTGATGTTCCAGGTGGGAGATATCGAAGCTTGATTACTGGACATAATTTAACCGATGTTGTGATAACAGGCAAGGGATTTTTGTATTAGGTTTGTTAATTATATTAATGTTTTTATCATGTTAATGTTTTTGTATTCATTTTGCAGGAAATAATGGAACAATTGATGGGCAGGGTTCTGTTTGGTGGGAGCAGTTTGAAGCTGGTGCCTTGAATTACAGTCGACCAAATCTTGTAGAATTCGTGGGTTCCAGTTATGTTGTTATTTCAAACTTGACCCTTCTGAATGCCCCCGCTTGGAACATTTTTCCTGCTTACTGCAGGTACTTTGTTTAGATTTCGAAAAACATCACATGACCTATGTTTTGTGGAGTTCTGAGAATCTTTTGTCTTTGCAGTAATGTGACCGTTCAGAACATAACAGTTCGATCCCCAGACAGTTCACCATATACTAATGGCATTGTCCCAGGTTTGTGTATATTTGGAACACTAGAATGATACTAGCTTATTGCGTTCTTCTCAAAAGTATATCTTCTAGTATGAATTTGTTGATGAGAAAGAAACATATTAAATAAATATTGATATATCTTTCATGCTTGAGCTTAGACCGGCTCCCATGGAAGTGGTCAACTAAACGTGTTTGTTGGGCGGAGGCCAGTAAGGGGCCAAGTCCATCAATCGGGGTAATTTATATCGTGGACCAGGGTCAAGAGTAACATGAATTCTGTGTATTATGTTAAGTGTTTATGTGGCCTCAGCTATATAATTCTCTGCATTATGAACATGAATTCTGTACCTTATGATGTCAAATTCTGTGTATTGGACCAGGGTCCACAGTGACCCTGGTCCACGATATAACGATTGATCAATTGGTGGCTAGTGGGATTGTTGGGCGGAGGCTGGTGAAAGGCCAAGTCCAGCACCCTGCCTCTTGAAAATGTGATGGCGGTATATAAGGAAATAAAGCTGCGCTTTCGCTACTAGCTATAGCTTTTGGTGTAGTGGTAAGCGCTTGATTGTAACACTGTTCTTGCTTGGGTGTATTTTATTATCATAGTGATTATAAAATTCCTTTCAGACTCTTCTGAGCACGTCTGCATCGAAAATAGCAACATTAGCATGGGTCATGATGCCATCGTGCTCAAAAGTGGCTGGGACGAGTATGGGATTGCCTACGGGAGACCTGCCTCAAATGTTCACATTCGAGGGGTTCGTTTGCAGTCCAGTGTAGGTGCAGGTATAGCTTTTGGCAGCGAGATGTCCGGTGGCATCTCAAATGTACTCGTGGAGAACCTCTACATACACAACTCTTTTGTGGGAATTGAGCTGAAGACTGCCAGGGGAAGGGGAGGTTATATCCAGGATATTCTCGTCTCTAATGTTGCAATGGAGAACGTACGGGTGGCCATAAAGGCTACCGGTTACTGTGACACACATCCAGACGATGAATATGATCCCGAGGCATTCCCATTGGTGAGTGAAATCTCCTTTGAAGACATAGTTGGATCAAATATCTCCATAGCTGGAAATTTCACCGGATTATCTGAATCCCCGTTTACCTCTATATGCATGTCCAATATAACCTTCTCCATCTCGCCTGCTGCTTCTGAACCATGGATATGTTCTAACGTATCTGGTTTCTCTTCAAATGTGTCCCCTCAACCTTGCCCCGAGTTTCAGACCCCAATTGCCAATACATCCGAAACTTGCTTCTCCTTTCAGTCCCCGTTCAATCAAGTTGCGGTCTTATAATCCCTCCAAAGAAAGAGACATAATTCATTGTCACTGTATAATCTCACACCCCGAGTTATGGTTCAGAAGGACAAAATGAGGGTCGATCGGGCAAACAAATTCCTTGAAGAAACTTCACATTTCAAATGGGTTACTTGTGTACAGAAAGCATCAGTTCTTCATTCATGTGTAAGAAAAGTTTTGGTAGTGCAGTGCATTGAGATACTTTGCTTCTTTTGGCTGTTTATTTATTTATTTATTTTCTTTTACCATTAGTCATCTTACATTTGTAAATTTGGGTATGGGAATGGGAACCACCCAAGATTGTTTGTTATTATATTGGTGTTATATTGATCTGAAGTGACATTTTGCAATAAAAGTTTTAGCCATTTGATTGAGAGAATAATATGTCAAATTCTTCCATACATGAAAATGATGTTTTAAAAATTCCCATTTCAAACTCCTCTGATCTGCAGGGAATGGCCAAAAAGCATAAAAGAAACCAAAGCATGCATGATGAATCAGTAATGGAGTTTTCTTCTCTGTGTATCTTTATGGAACTGATAATGCCAATAATCATCATGTTCTGCTTGTCCGCTCCTTAAAGAGAAGCCAGGAGAAGACATGATGAATGATGGGTCAGTCAACTTCTGTAACTCTGCCACTCAACTTTGTCCATTGCTGCATTAACTCACTTTTTATCTCCTTTGGAATCCTTCAATACCTCCAAAAAAACAAAAATGGGAGAACAATGTAGTACATTTTGAGGGCCCTACAGGATAGTAGAGAGAAAATCACGATAACTCAGCGACCTAATAGGTGGGAGGATCAAGCAATCATTATTGTGTGGGCCATATTTTGTATATTGTAAAATAATGTACATTCAGTACAAAAATAATGTACATTGTATTCAGGGGATGTACATTATTTTTGTACTGAGTGTACATTATATTGTATAATATACATTCATTACAAAAATAATGTACTTTTTATTATGATCCACATAATACTGTGTGGACCATGGTCCACAGCTCCTACACTGAGCAAAATGTACCATGGACAAAGGTCTACCTTGTATTGTGGACTCTGATCTAAAATAACCTTCAGTGTCAATTAACATATTTGATGCCTGTAATTAACAATGTCTGTAGTTAATATGTTATGTACATATATTAACGATAGACACATAATTTTCGTCAACCCACAAGTATGAACCCCATAAACAGAAGATTTGTGTTGTGTTTCATTGGATATGGTATATATATAAAGAGGTTAAAGCAAAAGCAGAAGGGCTCAAAATCATTGAAGTGGTACGGAGTTAACAGTAATAATTGTATCCCATAATAAGCATAGAGATATTTAATTTAAGCATCCAAAGCTGGTTTTAAGTTTAATACATATAATATAATAATGTACAGAAAAATGACAAAAGTCTCCCCGGTAGGGTTGTCCTACAATGAAGATCCAGACAAACAAGGAAGATGCAAAACTCTTACCGGTCTGAAGAAGGTTCCCAAGTTTTATTGTCCTCTCTTCAATCAATTACTTAATAAATAATTTGGCCCTATATAACTATATATTGTGTCTATTTGGTCAATTATAGCTTTCTTTACTCCGTATGTAATACTATGTATGTCAAAAAGTCATTTTACCAAACAAGGTATTTTTAACCGTTTAGTTTAAAAATTATCATTTATATATGACTTTTTTTAATTGGTCTAAACAATTCATAGATACCCCACCTACCAAGGTATAAAACCCATAATTAGGCTTATGGGAAGTCCAAACATTTATACTACTTGTGTCAATAATACCTAAACTTTTAAAATGAAGAGTAATTTTTAGTTGTAGTGATTATATTGAGTAAATAACAGCGGAGGTCCTCTGACTTTAATGGCATTGCCACTTTTAATCCTCAATTTTTAAATCAACCACTCTTATTCCTCTTACTTTTTGTTTCTAGCCATCTATCGTCCTTCCGTTAAACTTGACCATCTAATACCGTTTTTTCAAGGATAATTCAGTCCTTTCATGATTAATTTATTAATTATTACGTTTGCTGAGTCATACCGAGATATCCCGACGTTGTTTTGGCACAACCTTCGTACCAGCTTTTGTACGCCATTTTGATTCACGAGCTGGTTTTGTACACGTTCATAGCTGGGAAAACCATTGTTTGACTATTCTAATGCGGAAATTAAACATAATAATTAATAAATTAATTATGAAAGGACTGAATTATCTTTTAGAAAATAGCATTAGATGGTCAAGTTTAACGAAAGGACCATAGATAGCTAGAAACAAAAAGTAAGAGGACTAAAAGTGGTTAATTTAAAAATTAAGGACTAAAATTGACAGCGCCACAAAAGTCGGAGGACCTCCGTCGGTATTTACTCATGATAATATTTGTCGTCTCAAAGGAGTGGTCCAAAAGAGAAGTTAAATAACAAGCAAGTCAAGCACATAACATAACAACTTTCATAGAAGCTAGTCTAAATCAATTTTAATTTTGAAGAGATATACTGAAATCATGTAATTAAAGTAAACAACAACGAAGTTAACAACAATGAAATTAATATACAATAATATATAGGAAGATCAGAGTAGCAATTCATTTAGACTAAGCTAGCTCTTGCATAGATGCTATTGGGTGTACAAGGATTTGAGAATCATGCAATGATCTAAGGGGGCGTTTGGTTCAGGTTATATTACATAACCAAGGGAATTGAATGTGACATTTCAGAACTTACATTCTTGTGTTTGGTTCATATTATATGAGGGAATATAACATTCTCAGAGAATGGAATATTCCCTCCACATAGGATTTTGAAGGGAATGTGAGATCCCCTTCATTTTCTTAGGTTATGTAAGATAACCTTGAATATTTATAAATTTTGTCATTTTAATTCTAATTATTTAAAAATATACATTTTATATATATATATATATATATATATATATATATATATATATATATATATATATATATATATATATATATATATATATATATATATATATATATATATATAAGATAACCCTAAACTAACCATGATATATATTACATACCTCAAGTTTAACCAAACACAAGAATCTAACATTCCCAGTAATCGAACATTTCCAGCAATCTAACATTCTGTGAACCAAATGGCCCCTAAGAGCATTCACAATGGTAGTTTTTTTTTTTTTTTTTTTTTTTTTTTTTTTTTTTTTTTTTTTTTTTTTTTGAGGAGTTTTTGTAAGTGTGATTAGGAAAGAGAATATAGAAGGGTAGAGAAAAAAGAAAAAAGAAAAAAAAAAGCAAAACTGATTATATATATATATATATATATATATATATATATATATATATATATATATATATATATATATATATATATATATTTATCTATCTATCTATTTATTTATTTATTTATTTATTTATACACTGTGAGGCGGCGCGCCTGACGCACCCAGCTGTCGTGTGCACGTGCATGCGCCCGTTGGGCGCCCTGGTAGAAGTCACGCGTGGAAAAAGGAGATGGACAAACTTTTCAGTGAGTCCCACATAATCAGAATAAACTCTACCTTTACAGTTGAACCCCAACTCTCTCTCTCCCACCTTCTCTCTCCAATTTGTCATTAAAAAAACCCTCAAAAAATCACTGATATTCATGCTCTAACAAGAGGGCAAGTAAGAGGTAATAAAAAATGCCAATTCTTTTCTCATAGTAATTGGATTATTCAAATAATAATAGACTCCATTCTCATGGTAGTTCAACACTAAGGTACTTGAAGCACTTCATCAATATTTAGCCTACAAGTCTCCTTCCAACTCAAAGTAAGGTTGAGACTATGAGTAGTGTGTCCAATTGAATGTTCTACTCTCATATAGATATACAAAAATCCACATGTATGTATATGCTCAAACTAACATATATAATTGAATTCACAAATTATGCAAGAGATCAATCAAATATATAGCTACTCATAACAAGAACCCTAACTAATTCAATCAATACATACTCTCTTTATGCAATTCGATCCATTGGAAGCATCATCTATACCAAAAGCAAGTTCAACTTAAAATATCTAAAAACAAAAAATAAAAATAAAAATAAAGGATTCCTCCACATATATAAAACCAAGTTTAAACATTATAGTCACAAACTAATAATTACCCAAGAATGAAGAGTTTTATTTTTTATGTTTGTAATTTTAAACACCAAATAATATAATTAGATATAATTGTAATGCATAATATTTTTGGCATTAAATTACCAACAATTTAAATATTTAGATATATAATTGTTGTAAGGTATCAAAGTTTCAATCGGCATTAAGTTTTTTCTTATAAAGATAAGAGTCAAATATAACAAAAAATGTAATTAGCTATCCAACTCATAAAATGTGTAATTAAATCATTTTACTCTATAAAAATCTGCAAACGCCTAACATTTTTTTTTAAAAAAAATTCAATTATATATATATATATATATATATATATATATATATATATATATATATATATATATATATATATATATATATATATATATATATATATATATATATATATATATATATATATATATATATATATATATATATATATATATTTATTTATTTTTATTTTTTATTTCTGGTAGGAAAGATCAGCTTTCCTTATCAGGTGAACTATATATGATGTGAAATGAATAAATTGAATAAAAATAAGTAACATTATTGAATTTTTTTTATTTTTTATTTTTGAATGTAACATTATTGAAAATTTGATTGACTGAAAAAGACAAAATGTAAGGCATAAGAGAACTTGTCATTTTTGCCAATAAACAACAAATATGGTATGCAAACGAGATATGATGAATCCAAAGCACACAAAAAGTAGCAACTCATTTTCATATTTTCATTTAACATGTAAATGAACAACTCCATTGTAGTTTTTCTTCTGTATCTGTTTCATGCTAGGAGTATTGATCAGAAAATACTTTAAATTACTTAACTACCTTTTATGCTCACATTACTCTATCTTTCTTTCTCTTTGTAATTAGTAGGGAATTATTGATTGGGTAATGCAAAGTGGAGATTTGCGTTGAAAAGATTAGTATAAATTAACATTTTAAGTGATCAATTTGGGGTAGTAATTTGAGCAGGTCTATTTTCAATTTGGATTAATCAAAGTGGATTTAGATTTTCTTAGTTGAGGGGATGAATTGAATTTGATATATTATAAGCTCAAAATGAATAATGGATGAATGAGAAATTAATTATTAAAGTGTATCAATTGAGTTGAGAAAAATGGTGTTTGGAAAGACTTTTAACTAGCATTTGCCCCACATTGAAAATGGATATGAGTTTGCACTAGTATAAATACAATTTAACTTTTTTAAAAGTTTAAATTGTGTAGTGTAGAGATTTTCT